TGGGAATAAAGAACCTTTTATATATCAAGGGTAAACTACCCATCTCCTTTGGTGTTTCAATCAAACACTTATTTCCCCTAGGCTCAGTTTGGAAAGAGTATAAATACAAATATGTTCAGTACAAATATATACAAAATACAAGGTTTTACACTCTACATATTTGTATTTTTACTCCTTCCAAACTAAGCCTTATGGTTTACCTAATAACGAATACCCCCTTTCACTTACCCGGGAAAGAGTAATAATCAATGGGATTTTGATTACCATTGGCCAAGAAACCCATGTTCTTTCTTTATATTTATGTGGAGACCAAGGAAAGTTTATTGGGAGAATGATAGTTCAGCCCAAGGTCAGAATTTGTAGGCTCAAAGTACATTTGGGGTAGGTGCTAGCTCGGAATTGATGCCAATTCACGGGCGGGTATGGGCGCATAGAGTGTGGGTTTTGGACCTTTTGAATGTTTATAGCTCTGCAGTGGAAATCAGAAATCTACATTGAGCCTGTCCGTATTTCTCCGAAGTTTATTTTCCTAGATATTACTTACCCGGGTAAGTGATACCAATCTCCTAGGTGGGTAAATAACTTTCTCACCTAGGGAGAAAGTTGCCAACACTTGAATGGGACAAAAATGCCCCTTTTAATAATGGATTTTTATGACTAAAATGATCATTGCCTTATTTACATGAAAAATAAAAGAACACGGGTAAATGTACTTACCTGGGTAAATCTTTCTTGGGAAACACTTACCCGGATAAGTACTTACCGAAAAGCGAACATGGGAAACATTCTATATTTACCGACCTAACAAGTATGTTTGATAATTTAGTTATAAAGGTTTGATTTCACAAATCACAACTAACTCCACTTGAAGCCACCTATTACACAAGGATAGCTTCTTCACGCCATAGTGATTCCAAGCTTCTAAGGTAAATAAGGTAACCTTTTGTTGGAAGACTAGGTTATGGAAGAATCTTTATTGTTGATTCAAAGTAATGCCATTCTTCTACTATCATAATAGAATGATTACAAGGAGGGCAACATAGATATTGCCAAATATATAAAAAAAATCAACATATTATTTACATGTTTAGGGTCTATTTGGTTCATGGGAATAGTAGTCTAGAATTGGAATCGAAATGGTCCGTTCTAATTCCAATTATTTGGTTGGGAGGAATTGGAATCCCATTCCCATTCCTGGGGGAATGGCCATTCCTTCCCCCACCCTTGGGAATGAGAATCCATTCCAGATGATTCTGATTCCCGTTTAAACCAAATAGGTAGGAGGAATAAACCAAACAAACCTTAGTCTTGATGGGATTGCATAGCCTGTTGCACACACTTTGTTGTAGCATTTTCAGCCCAATTCAAATTCCGAATGTGAACCAAACGAACCAAAATTAGTAGTAGATGCATCAATTGCACTAGGGGTGATCATTTTCAGCCCAAAAATTTTCAGGCTTGGGCATAGGTTTCCCCCATCAGGCCCATGAATTTTAGGGCCAGGCCTAGGCTCAATCTAGCTTGGCTCAGGCCTAACCCGAGCCCAAATAGACCTAGGCCGCTATAGCCCTTAACATAGGTGCTAAGCCCATCCCATGAACACCCCTACCCCTAAGGTACGCATAGTAAAAGTATGGATTGATTAAACGCTTCTTCTAATTTCTTGTAGTGGTGAATGCGATGAAAAAATTAAGATATACATTGGATATGCTTGAGAAAATTCAAATGAAACTTAAAAAAATGCATCTATAAAATTAAATCCATGTCTTAAATGATTATAAATAAGATATATATTCATAGCCTAACATAAGAAACCCATGTTTTAATAGTTTTCAAAACCGGACTGGATCGGAAGAACTAGGAACCGGTTAGGTGACCGGTTCTGTTTTCCCCAAAACCGGATTTTTGCAAAAAGACCGTTGATTTGGTCGGCAAACCGCTGACCTGGGCAGTTGAACCATTTGAACCATTCAACGGTTTTGACTGTTTTTTATTTTTTTATTTTTTTTAATTTTTTTACTTTTTTTGGTCAAAACGGGCTGACCATTCGGGTCAAACAGTTAGATCATTCGACCCGGGAACCGGACCCCTGACTAGATCAGTCTCCAAGTCGATTTAAAAACCTTGGTTTATGGTACGAGACATCAAGATATGTAAGAAATGGTAGAAAAATTGAAATTCCACCTAAACCAAGAAAGTCACTAATTTAAATGAGCAACTAATTATTTTATTATTTTATTTTCTAGTTAATAAAATAATAAAAAAAATTGGTAAAATGGCTTAAAGAGTTAGCTTAGTGGAAGAATCATTTTCCAATGTAGTTACCTATAATCAAGTCTTAATATATAGTTTGTAAACGGTTTGAGTGTCAGTTTGTGACAATCAGGTATCAACCAATAGTCATGGTAGCACATGGTCTTTAGAGCTTGCCCCCGCCAATGTGAGATGCAAATCCAAACAATAAAATCATAAACCAACCAAACTAGTTCACTATGTTTTATGGTCAAAACTATCATTTTCCACTATAACTTAGGTTGATTAAGTAAATTGATTGAAAATTATGGGATGTATTAGTAAAATGCAAATTTTAAGATAGGCTTTAGTAAATATGTAAAACTATAGGGGGTGTTTAATAAATGGCTTTTTGTAAATAGGGAAAATTTCAGTTTAGTACCCTAAACTTTAGGGATAGTGTGTTAAGTTAATATCCGAACTTTAAAACATGCCATGTAGTACTCAAACTTTTGAAAACTGTCAGATTAGTACCTGTAGTTAGTAGTATGCATGTGATGTCATATGTGATTTATAACATTCTGAAACTCCAAAATTACTCTTTTAAAAAAGACATTGTTTATTGTCCTCTTTCCTGAAACTGAAACTAAACCAGAGCAACGATGAATAATAACGGAATGATTAAATGCTCTAAAATAAGTTAGCCAAAAAACAGATGAGAAACCAGAAATATAAACACGTCCGCCTGGTCTTTTAGTATTCGATCCATCTCGTGCATAATAACAAATATACTTTTTATAAACACATCCACCGGCTTTTGATATATGTATACATATACACGTGTTTTCATATATATACAATATATAATATTTACAAAATGTGGGGCATGTTGTATAAATAGTGAGATGAGGAGAAATCTGCAGGGTTTTCCATCATGATTATCATATGTTCTAGCCACATGATATCTAGACTCTTTTATGTTTATGGGACCAAACTGAACAAGGCGTTCAGGTTGTATGATTTTGAATTTTGACTTCCTCCTGTATATAAGAATCTATTAGATGTATTCCATACTAGCAAAATTAAAATTTAAACTATCACCATAAACAAGTTAACAGTTTTTATTATTATTATTATTATTATTATTATTATTATTATTATTATTATTAGCAAACAAGTCAATATCTTAAAGCCTTAAAAACTTAGGAATTCAGATATTGCCATATTAGTTTAAAATTATAATAATGTCTTTCAAAATAACCTTACTGCAAAATCAATTTCTAATAATTCTATGACAATGGATCACCACATCTAGGCCTAAAATCCAAACAAATTAACAGGATAGAGATGGATTTTGAAAATTTGCTCATATATGTATGTTTCTAAGCAATTTCAAATCTTGAAATAGTATTCCCTCTAGAAGACTAGAGCTACATCATATTTGTCAATTTCAATATTTTTTTATATAAGATATCATCTACTTCTAGCAATAAGAACAAATGGATGATTATCTGAAAAGGTATATCTGATCCAACTAGAAATTAAAAAAAATGACAATAAATAAAAGTTAACTGACCTTCTGGTGGGCTGATATTAGTTCACAAATCCAAGGATAAATCAATAACTGATAAATAATTTTTAAACCATTCAAGAAGTGCAGAACCAAAAGCTCCTTTTCCAATCTGTTCTAGTATTTCATATTGCTTCCACTTGTTTAAACATGAATTATCCTTATTCCTGACTTAGATTAAGTGTTAATAACTACTTCATGCTATACTTGTTTATTATTCCTGAATTTGGTAAGATATGAATAAAATTCGAATTCATAGGTTTGGGTACAAAGATAAAAAAGAACATGTAACTTCTCTACTTTTTTTATAGGGAAAATTCTTGATTAATACCTTATACTTTGGGTCTAGTGTCACTTTGGTCCCTGAACTTTAAAATATAATAATTCAGTATCCAAACTTTCAAAACGTGTCAATCCAGTGCCTACCATTAATCATCTGTTAATCAGTCGTTAAGTGACATTTGAAAAAGACACAAATGTCCCTTGAATGTCAACTAATTTTCTTTATCAACTATTCAACCGTTGACAGATGATTGCTAATCATCTGCTTCTATTCAAGAAAGTTGGGGTCACCTAGGGCATTCTAGACCTCAACTTTCTTAAATAAAAGAGGCAAGGATTTATGATTGTTAATTTTTGTCAATGTTTAAATGGTTGATAAAGAAAATTAGATGACATTTGAAGGGCATTTGTGTTTTTTTCAAATGCCATTTAAGAGCTGGTTAACGGTAGGTACTGGATCGACATATTTTAAAAATTCGGGTACTGAATTGTTGCATTTTAAAATTTGGGGACTAAAGTGGCACTAGGCCCATCATACATGATACTAATCGAAAATTTTCCCTTTTTTATAAGATAATTTCTCTACAATATAACTTCATTCGGGCTTGTATTTATTAGAATTAACATGATTTTATGTGTGGTGATAATTGATTCCCATAAATAAGGTGATGCCAAACGTAATTCTGTTTCTAACGAATAGGAATCAGATGACTGTGGAAAATTCTCAAAATCCATTCTTCTACGTAAGAATTCTGAGATTGCGAATCCCAAAATTGATGCCAAACGGGGCCGAAAATCCAAGCCTACTCTGGATCGGACCGGCTCGGTTAGGCCCGCCCAATCCCATTACCCTCGCACGTTTTAATCTCTCCCTCGTGATTCGATGACCATAGCGTACCATTTTTAAAGCATTGCAGATCCGAACTAGTGAAACACTGTTCTCAGCAAACTGGGATTCCCTCCCTGCGCGTAGCGGAAACGAAGAAGAATTACTGCAAATTGCACATCTTAATTCTGAAATGCAGCTGCGTTAGACGTTGTGACGTGAATCAGCCAATCAGACAAGATGATCGTCTGCATCGCCGTCGTCGGACACCAGGTGCACTCTTGAATCCTCTCATCTTTTCTCCCTTTCTCTTCTAAACTCCGATTTCATTTGGCGGAATTTCATGACTTTGACTTCTTTGCTGAGCAGAATAACCCACTATATCTTCAGAGCTTCACGGAGGCAGATGATGCCCTAAAGCTTCATCACATCGTGCACTGCTCATTGGACGTCATTGATGAGAGAGGTACTAGTTTGATTTACTATCTCTCACTTTGACTTCGAATTGTATCTAACTTCTTAATCCTGAAGAGTTTCCATTGTGATTTTGGATGGTAAATACAATCATTTACGGAGTTTTAGCTTGGATTATTCGATAATATTTGGCAAGTTAGATCTCAAGGGGGATCTAGGGTTTTGATTATAAGAATTTATGTTGCAACCTTCTATCATTGTATGGCGTCGTATGGATAATCAAGGAACGATATGGCCACAATTATCAACCTCGTGAAATTACAGTTTTGAAGTAATATGGAAGTTATCTGCTTTAAATAATTAGATCTTATATCAAGGTCACTTTGTATGGAGAAGAGATGGATTAAACTTTTCTTATCATGTCAATCTATTTCAATAGGAAAGAAATGCTCCTATCTTTTCTGTCATTGATTAAGAAGGTTTGCATGGTAGTTCATCTGCCATTAGATATAGAAACTTGTCATGCCAATCAGTGAAAGGCGATGGTGCCATGTAACAGATGAAGTAGCTCTTTGATAAAAAAGCGAAAAAAAAAAGATGAAGTACCTCAATCACCTACTTTCAGTTCTATCCTACAGTGATGGCCTTTCTCATTCAAGTCTTTAAAAATGTCTGTTTCTAGTTTCTACACAATTTTTAATCAGTGGCGATGATGGATAAAATGCCTACATCTGCATTCTTGGCACCGCTTTGCAAATCATGTAAAATTTTGGAATTGGTGCTGGATTATTTTAAAGGTTATATAACACAAATGCCATCACTATTGGTGGACCCTGTGAAATTATGGTATATAGAACAGGGCCTATTATTTAGGTAAATAAAAGATAATCTTAGTACTCATCAATTAGGTTTGACTATTTGAGGCCCCAAATTTCTAAGGATCTGGAAGAACAAATCAAGAGATTTGAGATGAGTATTATGCCGACTATAAATCACCCATGGTCTACATGATTTTGGTCTTCACAAATCAAGAGATTGACCCCATTAAGCACAGGAGTGAGATTGATTTCCACTAATTTGTGCTGGCTTTTTGATTCTTTACAAGAGCATAAACAACACAGTTCTTGATAGTCATCCAAGTTGTTTTGAATCAACCTGCATGGTAATGCATTGCCTCAGCTTTCCAAGGACTCCAGTCAGTTTCACTTTTAAGTGGTTATCATAAGAATGTATTATCCTTGTTAATAGGCCTGGTATTGGTTTCAACAACTTGTAATGAACAATAATCATGTTATTCCTTGCATTTTTTCTTCTGTCTTGCCTTCACTTTTCCAAATACAAGATCCATTAGGTACCAAATTTTCATGTTTTATTTTAACTTCTTGGCTAGTTGAATTCAACTCAACAGAACATTGTCCCAACTTTATGAGGTCAGATTCATAAATCCTGTTCTGCCATTCCACTCAGTTCATTGCCATATCCGTTGTTAAACGATGGACCCTCAAATCATTTCTAATTATATCTACTTCAAACCATGTCCATTTTGGCCTGCCGCTAGCTCCTCCAGACCCTTCAACTTGCAACAAGTCACTTCTTTTTACTGGCCTGCCCAATGTCCACCAGTGCTGAGCTTGTCTTAAACTGCAGGTCTCAAACTTAGATAAAGGAGGGTTGTGTCAGGCTGGAAGCTAGCATTGAAACTTTTCCAAACTTTTATAAGCATGCACCCTGAATTGTAACTTTTTAGTTAGTTTACCTTGAAATATTTATTACTGGTGCATGACAATTAGAACTTGTAATGTCATAGCATTAAAATACATCTTTCATGGTTTTCTAGTTGAAAAAATAGCCTGACTATTTCTTTCTTTTTCTTTTTCTTTTCTTTTTTTTTTCTTTCTTTCTTTTTCTTTTTTATTCATGCACACTATGCCTTCAGTGAACAATCCCAAAAAGACTGGGTCGACATTGAATGAGACGTATCTTGGACTTCTTTATCCAACTGAGAATTATAAAGTGTAAGTTTGCCAGGGTGGTTCTATTTTGATTTTAAAAAATTTCAGTCTGCCAATTATATGTATAGGTGCTCAGAATTTCTCTTCTGTACCTGGTGTTAAGCTTGAACTGTAACTTACATTTTGATATTATTACCATGGTGTATTTTGAGCAGGTATGGATATTTAACAAATACAAAGGTGAAATTTATTTTGGTCACAACTCATCTAGATGTCAGAGATGCAGATGTCAGAAATGTAAGTTAAAACATATAAATTGATGCTCTCATACAAGTTTTTTTAAGAGTAATAATGGAATTTTATTAATTCAGGAACTGATTCAGATTTATAATCTCATACAACAGCCCTTGGAGAGGCACAAGCTGCAGCCTCTCCTAACAGATTGCAAAGAAACTAGGAAAAGAGTACAGGAATCACAGCTGAGCCCAGAACAATTCTTCCCTATTTGCCCCTTGCTTGGATAACACATCAACCAAAGCATTTGTTGGTCTCCCCACCCACTGAATAGAAACAGACATATTCCTTGTCAGCCAATTAATCTTCTTAACTTCATTCTTATAGCACCAAACAGCATCCTCAGGGTTCTTCAACCAGCCCACCATCACCTTGGAGTCCCCTTCAATAATTAGTTGCTGTACCCCCAATTGGTTTGCAAATTGCACCCCTTGTACAGCAGCTAGTAATTCTGCCCAGCAGAATCTCCAAATCCCAAAGGACCTGAGTACAGAAGAGCAACCTCTCCAGTACAAGTTTAATTGTAAATTGTCCTTTTTCATATGGCGTTATCTTTTAATGGTATTGTTTAGTCCAAAATCTAACAACAGCCACACCATCTTTCTTTCGTGGTTGAAGTGACCGTAGCTACAGTATGTTGCATAGCCTCCTTTTCTTTTGCTTTGTGTGCGTGCATATGGAACAGAAATAAATAAATCACCTTAAACGGGGATAAAAGAATGATTGTTCTCTTTTCACTAGTGATCTTATACATTTATTTCTTGGGGGTGGGAATGCAGTTAAATGGCTGGTGTCCATAAGTTGTGAACTCGGTTCACTCAAAATGACAAAGACAAAAAAATATGACTTGGGATGTTTTTATCTTAAATTAGCTTTGGTGAGAATTCTGCATTCTCAATGGTTAGATTTATTTGTTTTTTCTTGTTGTTTTTTTTATAGATAAATTATCATATTTCCATTAAATCAGAAAGAAATTACATAATCAATCCCTTGGGAAGGCGCGAGATGCCGCCTCCCCAAACATGAAACACATAAAAATCTTAAAACACAGAATCTAACGCAAAACGTACATGTGTACTAATACAAAATTGTAGTTGAGCCCAAAATAGTATTCCCCAAGTTGTGCCCTGTTTTGCCAAGCTATCAGCAAAGGCATTAGCTGATCTCCTCACCCGCTGTACAGTAACAGTCATATTCCTTGTCAACCATTTGTTGTTTGGGTTAGTGTTTTGTTTCTAATGAAACCAATTGAATGGGATTTCTACTGATTCTTAACTGCTTTATATAGATTAATCAAAGGCACAAGGTTCAAAGCAGATATGGTTGGGACATTCAAGGAAAGTTCAAGAAAGTAGGCTGTCCCCCACACCCCCCCTCAAAAAAAAAAAAAAGAATAATTAGGGTAGGGCCTATGGCTGAAAAGAATTAAGAGATTTCTTTTACAATTAAGTTCTATTTCAGGGATAAGTTAGTTGATTCTAGAATTTAATAGGGTCAGGCTTGAGAGGGCCAATACCCAGTGAGACTCATAGCTATCTGGGGTCTTGGGAGGAGTAGATTGGATTTGCACAAAGTGGTTGCTTTTGACTCAAACTTACATTTGTCAATCTGAGGTTTCATCGTTGAACCAAGCAATGGCCCCTTCGGAATTAGACTTGAGAGAAACAGTATAACAGTATTAGTTAACTTTTTATGGAATACTAGTGTAGGGGTGTGTGATATGCAAGGGTGCAAATAAAGAGTAAATTAACATTATATAATCAAATTTAACTTTTATGACCTGCACAAAAAACCAAGGCAAGCATCCGCATTATATAATATAGATTGAAGTGACTCAATTGAATATTCTGTTTTTCTGTTGTACATTATTGTTGTAAGTTGTAACAGAGATTTGTTCTTGTCTTCTCTTGTGTCTTTTGAGAAGAGTTGTTGCTTCACAGTGTTCACACATTTCTTTTTGTGCAAGTAAAGTTATTCATAATCAATAAAAATAATGTATTAAGTCAATTAAATTAAAAATTGCGGCAAAGGATATGAATTGAAGGTCCACAAATTGGAAACATGAAATATAAGAACTAATCTTGTCAATCAAGAACAATAGAAATTCGGAATTCAAGAAAAGAACATTTAGAATTTGAATCCAATGACAATTAGAATATATAGACAAGAAAATCCTTTAAGAGTCTTCCATCAGTTAAGACATAGAGTGGTAATACCAGTCAGACAAGGGAAATTGATGACATCAGACATCACACCAGCGAGTAGAAATGCAAAGAGAAAATCATTCAAAAAAGCAATTGCTTATGGGAAATGACTGAAATGGGATGGGAATGCTCTCCATTTAAAGAAGTATAAAAGCACCAAGATGTGAGGTTCACTTATTAAACAATGTTGGGAAAGAATACACAAGAGGGTGGGTTTCATTGCTGCCAATTCACAACCTTAATGTTATTTTGATTTTCTCCTTGGCATTTTCCTCCATTACTGTATAGTGCCTCTGCATAGATCAGATAATGGTTTCTCTTGTTGTGTTTATCATAGATCTCATTTTCAAAATCACAACCTTCTAACATGCTCCTTTTTTCATTCCCTGTTTAACACTGCACAAGCAGTTTTTCAGGAGATTCCACTCTGCATATGTGGATGCAGTTTCAAATCCGTTTCATGTTCCGGGGAAGAAAATAACATCCCAAACTTTTGCTGAAAGAGTCAGTACCATTGTGAAGTCTTTTGGGTTGAGCTCAGCTGTATAATAGATTCGATTGCCTGTGGAAGATTAGAACATTCTCATGCATTTGTATCTGAAACGGAATCTTTTCTTCCCTTTTTGTATTTCCTTTTATCTTCTGTCTTTATCTATTTTGGAAGTCTAGTGAGTTATTATTTTCTATATACATACAAGTAGTAAATCAATACAGTTGAGATTTAACATATAGCATGAGAACACATTGAATCATACTTTTTCTAACAAATCCAAACTACTTTTTTCAATAAGAAGAAAAAGAAAACAAATGAAGCTCGAGCCTTGCTCTGGCTTTATGAGATTGCCATGCCAAAAAGTGCTCTCTCTCTCTCTCTCTCTCTCTCTCATTTCTTCCAATAGCAATATCATCAACTCAACCTTAATCCAAATTAGTCGTCAGCTATATGAATGAATCTTGTTCTGCCATTGTGGTCTATCAAGAGCCATGTTTCTTATCTAATTGTAAGTCTTTAGATCATTTTTACTACTTAAGACCACATTTTCTTTGGCTTCTCTTGCACTTTTTAGAACCTTCTATCTGCAGCAAGTCACTCTTCACCAGTGCAGCATTAGTTGTTTACGCACATGTAAGAACCATTTCAGTTTACTTTCCCTTAGCTTGTCACAAATTGGACTCCCAAGTCCCTTGTGATATGTTCATTTTTGAATTTGTCCCTTCTAGTCTATCCGTTCATCCATCCCAGCTGCGTTCATTTTTTTATTGGACATTTATTTATTAACAGTCTATCCAATATATAGCAATACTGATATTATAACTGTATTATTTAAGTTTTCTTCTAATCTCATTGGTATACGCTGGTTATACAGCAGATTGTATTCATCTCACAACTTCAACCACTATGCTCTAATTATACGGGCAACATGTATTAATCTCACAACTTCAAGGTATAGGAAGTGACTTGTACATGTATTTTATCTTAGTTTGTTTCATGTTCAAACTTTTTAATTATAAATCATATCTCTATTATTCTATCTTTGTATTGAGTCCATCTTTAGTCTTTACCAGTCAATGTTATATCATTAACAAATAAGTTTTAAGTGTTTAACCATGGGATCTCCTAAAAATTTTAATTGGTTGCAGCTATAAATAATGCAAAAAAGATAAAGAAATTTTGGACTTGGGTCCAATTGCAATTGATCCTAGTAGCTAGTAGGGATCTGATGGAAATTCTTATATCTTCCAAGTTGAATTCGCCCATATCGGCTTGACAATTGTCTAAAAAGTTTAAAGCGAGGGTATGTGTCTACTGTTAAGTAGATAAAGTATTTTTCTTGAGTAGAAAATGCAGGCCCCCTAGTCCTAGGATCGGTAAATAAGTCCCAAGGCAAGGCAGAGAGATTTGGAGCAGATCAGAAGCAGCATCAAATCAACAAATATCCTAGCTTTGACGCCATTCCGATATTTAAAAAAAAAAAAAAAATTAAAACAAGAGTGCACTACACAACTGGGTAGTGCGTCTCCGACGAGGAAGAGAGAGAATTAGAAGCTAAATAAGTGGAAGAAAAAGATTGTGGCATTGAGCTTCATGTGCAAGTCAGTCTGTTGCTTGGTTTGCCTCCCAGAAAACATGATGGTATGTTAGACCCCTATCGAATAAATCCCTCATCCGAATGTAGCTTGTAATCACGTTTCTCAGCTTTTATGGAATTTTCACCTTTTGCTTGAGACATGAGATGACCAGCTTCGAATTGCCCTCGATGATAATCGGAAATTCTCTAAAATTCAAAGCTCCCATGCAGCCAATGCCTCCACTTGGTTGATAGTGCAAGTGCCAAGTTTATAATCTTTAACGTCCAAAACTCGATTAAGATGATTACGAACAATACTAGTACCAGAACATTTTTCATCACTATTGTAAGAAGTGTCATTTTGATATCTGATAACCTATAATTCGCCTAGTCCAATAAATCAGAAGTGTCATTCTGATTTCCAAGCGAGCATGCTAAAGGCGGGTACTTCTTGGATGAGAGCATTAGCCATGCCCATGCCCATGGAAACTGAGGTTTAAGGGGACGAAGCTCTGCGATGAATAAATCTCCACCAAGGATCAACTGTAACTGCTCCTAGTCAGAGCTAGTCTAAGACGAGTGCCAATATCAACTTCAAGTCCTTTTAGGCAATTTCTTTAGATTCTTCTTCTTAGATTTTCCAACCGTCTCACATTGGATGACTGATGTTTTCTTTTTGTCTTAGTCTTCCTTATAACCACACCCTCCCAGTTTTTTTAAGGCACAAAGGAATATTAATACAAGTATATAGAGTGTAAATGTTTTGTATGAATTTGTAGTCTTGCCTAGAGGAGAGCCATTGAGCCAATCACATCAACTTAATATATTATTATTTAAGGGGAAAGCTTATAACAGGAGTAACAGAGCAGCGGAACAGGCCAGATTTGATTCCAAGTCTCCACTACAACCAACTAGAGTCGGCATCTTGTGAAAGTAATGGGACATTTCAAAAGAACCAAAACACCCCATGTTTTTGGTTTTTGTCGTAATAAGAAAGGTTTCTTTGTCTCCTCAGTGGGGAATGCGCAAGTCAGTTCATTTAATTGATTATATATTCTTAATCAAAATGTAATAAACAGACGGGAAACAGAACCATTTTAATCACTAGTTCTTGGATCAAATGGTCCAACTCTCATCCGGTCAAGTTTTCAAAACCATGATCTATTTATCTTCATGCCAAGGATTTATGTTAAGGCTGCATCATGGAATGCTCTCATAGAATTAATTCTGAGACTTATAATTCTATGAATAATTTTACAGTTTGGATGTATAAAAGTTGTTGGAATTAGTTCTTTTTTTATTTGGACTCAAAACTCTTTAAAATTTGATTTTTTTGGAGTAAAAATATTCAACTTAAAGAGAATCATTTTTTTTACTCAAAACTCATTCTTCAAATGGTGAATCTTCAGAGCAGAATTTTAACCAAATATAACCTAGATTCCCTCCTTATGAACTCAATTTTCAAAGATCCCCCATCAACTTTTTTTTAACTAAACACGACCTAGATTCCCTCCCCATGAACTCAATTGTGAAGAGGACTATCCTGCTTCGAAGTTGGAGAGGAGCTTCATTGATCTTATGCTTCGTTGTATGGTAAGAGAAACTTCAATAAATTTCTATAATACAGATCACAGGAACACTAAAATTGGATCCGACGACAAATACAACCTGCATAACTTGCCACCTACCCCCTGTTTGGAGCATCGGAACCCAACTTCAGATAGATGAATTGTATTCAGAGGATCAGTTGATTTGGACTAAAAACCAACCTTTTTCTGGCTAGAAAAGAAAAAAAAATATTACTTCATTTAAATGAATGTCGTAGAAAACTTTTCTTAAAACTGAAAAAGTAGCTTCGCAAATGATGCCGAAAATCTGAAGATCATGATCCTGTGTCCCCAGATGGAAAAGTGATTAATCTCTTCAGTAGTTCCAGTGAACACCATTTCTCTTTATTACTTTCGGTTATATGATATTACATTACATCCACATAAATTAAAGAAGAAAACAAAATCTTGTTGAAGAGAGATCACTTCTGGTTCTGGGTGTCAAGCTTTTTAATACCTGGTTGAAGAGACAGAGATGAGTTCATCTTTGGGGTTTACATGGGTAGGGTAGGGACTAGGGAAGGGAAGATTGCCATCGTTCTCACTTCTTTTCAGTGGAACACAGATGAGAGATGGCGGGCTGCTTTATCAAAATAACAAGCACGCCTCTGCCAAACTAAACCTTAAACCCTAAACCCATAAAACATTAACGAACTTAGAACTGCACAGGGCTAGAGAAGGTCTGACCGAAGGCCCAATTTGCTGGGACAATATCCTGAAATAGACGGGTCTCTCCATCAGTAGTGGTAACCTGGAAGGAGAGAGATTGGCCATTGAGGTAGTGGTTGGATTGCCAGTGAGCACCCCAGTTCCTTGACATCGCCGTCCAGCCCGTGCTTGAACCCTTGATTGACACAGCCTGAATCGATCCAGCACCTGCCACATTGGTTATGAGGACGAGTTCAAAGTAGTCTCTTCCATTAATGGTGAACCTTACTCCTCCATGTTTCTTGCATGGAACCCTGCAACAAAACACACCATGAGTCTATGACTACGTCCTTACTGGAAGTTGACAGACAAGACAAGAAGTAGTGAAGAAAACAAGTGACAACCACCTTTGGAACAGAACTGGAATTATGCCCCCTCTGTATATGCCGATCTTCTCCCAGGCAGGTTGAGCCATGTCGAAGTGCTGAAGCGGCGTGTTGCACCACCCACCATTATCATTTGGAAGAGCGAAATTTGGAGGACAAAAGTTGGTTGCTGTAACAGTCACAGACACCCCTTTCAAACACCATCTGGGGTCTGTCTTGTAGTCACATATGATCTTATAGCACTGCCCACATGAGGCTCCACCGTTGAACAGAGCAGTGCTTAGAGCTGCTGTTCGAGTCCCATATCCTGTTTCATACAAGTTCCCATACCCACAAGCTCCCCCTGCAAACAGTCAATCTCTAATAAGATTATTCATCCACCCAGTTCGCCATTAAACAATCAAAAAGAAATTAACAAAAGTAATAGCAGATGGAATGGCGAAAGAATCATATACCCATGGTTCCAGAGGCGTCGCTTCCACCATAGAAGGTGGCATGGCCTTTGATCCATCCAGAAGGCGTAAAAGACTCGACAAGAATGTTGGACTGATGACCCAATCCAAGCAGGATAATGGATATGAAAATGATGCTCCACTCCATTCAGCTCTGGCTCAGTAAGACAATACAAGGAGAAGGAAGAAGAGAAAAGAAGATAATGCAAGGAGAGGGGAAAGATGAGTTTTGGGGAACTGGGGATATATTTACAGTAATGGCTTCTCTGAACGAGTATAGACTTCCACTATAAATAAAGACCAGTCCCTCCCTACTCTCACAATGCAACAGCCCTGACATGTGATCACTGCAACTAGGGAGAAACTTGCATTATTTTAAGTAAGAAATTAAATTAATGTGTTCCTGTACCTGCATCTCCATATATATTATCTCTGCAACTCTGGATATTTCTGAACCTGATTCAATTATTCCCACGTTCTCCTCTCTTCTCATCATACTCATATGTTTTACCATGAGGAAGGAGCAGTGAATGGATCACAAACTACTTATAGGTCCCAGTATTCTTTGTTATTTTGTTTACATTTTCATCTTTTTGTTGCTATATCTGTGAAGAAGAAAAAATTCACCATCTCCAATTCCTTGGATTGGGTGATGGAACAGTTTTCTAAATCCATCTGATACATCTCACATGGTCTTTCTACTGATGATCTATATATATCTGCTCAGAGCCCATGTTTTCTAAATCCTGGGTGTCTTGCACGTGGCCCCATTTGATCCATTCCCATCCAGGGTCCACCCATAGGCGGTGATGGGGTTGTGCTGGTGTCTTTATCCTTATGCAATCCTCAATCTTTCCATGAGATGGGTTCAATCAACAGTTTGGACCATTGTTGAAAACCAAGGTCACTGCCCTTCATCCAACTAATAGATTGTCAGGAGTCGGGACTTGAATTGGAGCCATTTGGGAACTATAAAAGAAATCTATTCTCCCTCAATCCAATCGCCAGTACTTATTATCATGTGCACCGACTAAACATGTAATTAAGATGGTTTAGGCATCTTGTCTGTGTGAATTGCTCTAGTAGTTCTTTTAGCAATATAGTATTGCTATCATCTGATTACCATAAAATTAATTAGTGTGAGCTGGAATTTTGCAGGATATATTATTTTTATAATAAAACAGTATCTTCATCTACAGTGAGGATCAGAGCAGATGGCCCACCAACCTAGGTCTTCCTCACTTACAGTTGATTACGGACTTCAGATTGGGTGTAAGCCCACAGCCCAAATTTTCTATGATCCCAACCAGTTTATTTTAATAAGAATAACTGGGGGAAAATCCAAAGGAACAAGCAAACAAAAGGAAAAGGTTGAAGTCATAAGCATCGTCCTTGATTATTAAAATCTTTATATGTGTATACACTTCACAGTCCCTCCCAGTCCAAAAGTTGGCAATTCATTTCAATGGTCAGGATTGGTTTTTACCTGCTAAAAAATGGGGATATTCTATTCTCACTCCTTTAATGTAACAATTTTTAATTAATTTAAAACTCTGTCCATTCATAAATGTGAGCAGAGCAAAACAGAGATCATAGAAAAGTTGCTAAAAAAGAACAGGAACCCAAAGAACTCAAATAAAGAAATATGTTCAAATGATTGGTTTGGTGTGTAAACTTCCTGAAAATAACTCATAGGTGGTGATCTACTTTTAACAAATTGATCAATTAGCACAAACAAAATATGAATCTAGGCAACCGATGGTCTTTGAACAGCTCAGACAATTGTGGGTCAGAGTTATTTGTTCACTTAATTAATATGATATATTGCTAAGTACATAAGCAGATTCATAGCTTTAACAAACCACTTGTTATAGCATTGGTCACATGATGCAGAGATGTGAAACGTGTCTCTGCCTCTTTTTTAAATCAGTTGGACTGTTGGATGAAAAAATAGAAATGGAATCTACCGATATTAGTTAACTTCTACATAAAGAAATCTACTGATTGCATCTATATTCATATAAATGACAATACTGTAAAGTGTTGTCAAGATAAGTAGATCCAGAGCAAGAAGGCAGTTTGGAGTGGTAGATACTCTACTCTGCCAATCCTTCCAAGAACAAATCTGGGCTTTTCTTTCCACCGTAAAGTCTGAACCTTGGCATCACTTAACCAGAACAATAATTGGGTGGTTTGAGTATTTTGCAAAAGACCCAGTCACCCAGACCCTTGCTTTGTTTTCTTAAATTATAAATTGTCTGATTAGACTATAAAAAAGGATTCATCAGTGGGAGATACCTATCACATGGATTCTGGCCTAAGGGTCCATTTGATTCATATTCGGAATCGGAATTGAAATGGTCTATTCCTTTTATCTGTTTGGTTCAGTCTAGAATCGGAACCGAAATCAAAATTGGCTGGAATGGATTCTCATTCCCAGAAAAGGGGAGGGAATGACCATTCCCCCATATGGGGGGAATGTCATTTCACCTGGAATGGGAATGAGATTTCCATCCACCCAACCAAACAGTTGAAATTAGAATAGACCAATTCCGGACCCCTATTGCCCCTAAATATTTGCTCCTAGTTATATTTCATTCTCACTTCTTAAATCTTAATTAAGGATCGAAATAAGATAGCTGCATTGCACATGTACCATGTCAAGCGTACTCCAATCATTCTTGATCAACTTGCAGTGATGACGACATAGAAATTTTCTCTTCTCTAAATCTGTATGCTTTCCAAAAATTGGGTGCGTCGAAGCTCAGAAACTTATAGTAATCCTTTCTCTAGTTCTCTTTGTTTCTCTCTAGCTAGGCCAACAATTTAGCAAACCCAGATTCTCAAAAGGCAGCAAATAGAGTTGTAGCTCAAGGTTCAAAATTTGGATATAATATGGGGCGTATTGTATTGTATCTTTAGGGGTTCAATACACCTGTTTACAGGTATTTTGGGACCCTATTCTTTTTTAATAAAAAATATGTTTAAATATCTTCCCAAAAACCAAATTTAAAAAAAAAAAATACTAAAAAATATTTCCGTATATATCCAAGTACCGATCTATACTTTGAACCATGTTGTAGTTACATGATAATTGATAAACAGAGTACAGTCTTAGGTAGGTAGAGGAGTGGTGTAATTGTATTTGTTAAGAAATCACATCTGCTCCCCACAGAATGCGCCCCAAAAAAGTTTCACAGCGCATCCCAACCATGCATTAGGAACATCTCCAATGACAAGTTCGGAAGATGTTTTCTATGCACGCTGAGATGTGCAGTGGGGCGTTTTTGGGGCGCATTCAGTGGGGGCAGATGTGAATTCGTTTGTTAATAGAGAATACCAACACACAAGCCAATCCATGAAAGGGAGGGAATCAAAGGCAAATGTACTCCCCAGGCCATGTGCCATCCATCTCTGTTGTTTCCGATCCGATCTATATAGTACAGTGTTGTGGCTATTGATATCACTAATCGTCATATATTAAATAATTGAGATGCTTTTGGAACACTTTCCCTCCCTTTGTATATGATCGATCAGTCCATTTGTTTAGCTTCCTTCCTTATAATTGGTTGTATTCTCTCTCCAGCTGTTCTCTTTTCCCAAATCTGTTTTAATGTTGCTTGTTGCTTCTTAGTTTTTCCAACAAGGAGTCAAGGACAGACCTCCATTTTTCCTGTCCACATGAATTCGAGCAGTTTCCTTCCTGAAATAATCAAATAACAACTTTTTTCTCATCATACCTTTCTGGGTGTCATTTTTAGCAGTTTCTTACACCGAATGAAGTACATTAAACATTGTTCTTTTCCTTCGTGCATCAAGATTCAAAATTTTCATACTATTATATTTCTTGGTAAAATCCAGCTTCAGTCACTCAACAATTCTAATTAATTAATTAATCATATAAGGGGGATAAGGGGGAGGATAACCCCTTCTTATATTACTATCACCCAAAAAACGAATAAACACAAATCCTGGTTATAACAAAATCCAGCTTCTGGTTGTGGGGGTGCACCATTTTCCTGATCCAAACTCTCACTATATTCTTCAGATCAAATTCCGCTCCATGTGCGGCTTTATAGATGGTGTTTGATACATTTGCGTTAAAAAGACACGTTTTGGCATGAAATCAGAATTGAACTCGGAATCTGTTTGGTTGGACGGAATCAGAATCTCATTCCCACCTGTGGTAGACTGGCATTCTCCCATTTGATGAAATGGTCATTCCATCTAAGGTTCAAAATATCGATATGCACGATACACCGGTAGGGGCGTATCGGGCAAATTGATACTATTTGTTGTGTTATTTTTTTTTTTTTTCACAACCGGTTCAGGGGGGGCTTTAAGGCTCCTCCACCCCCTGAAACAGTCAGACCTCCGATACACCCACTGTAGGGGCATATCGGAGGGGTCCCAGAACGATACGTATTGGCCGCCGGTACTTTGAACCTTGATTCCATCCCACTCCCTTGAGAATGAATTTCCAGCTGGTTTCAATTCCCATTCAAATCCCCATCTAAACCAAACAGATTATGGGAATAGACCATTCCAATTATGATTTCAAAGAATTTCAATTCCAATTCTAACTGCAAGCCAAACAGATCAAATACGACTTCAATTCTAATTCCAATTCCAATTACAACGATATAGGCACTACTACATAAGACAAGTTCAGTGAGAATGCCCTCCATATTCAAATAAGGCCTCTTGAAAATAAAACCTGATGCAAAATGTAATGCTCCCGTTGTCCACTACACCAAATACGATTTTTGAATGTTTAGAGTTTGAAAGTAAAACTTAATGGAGCACAAACAACAATACAATACCACAATACCAAATATCCTCATACTTACTTGCCACTTACTAGAACCAACCGAAGCCAAACAAAATTTTCTCCATAATTGTAACCCCTATGGTAGTGGCGAACTGGTGAGCACTTCTTTCGTGTAAAGTCCCAGAATGGCTGGACCTAACCTCTATTTATGCTCTTTAATATAATATAATAATACTTTGTTTATATATCAAAATAATAATTACCTATAGAGAGTACTAACTATGAATATGTGAAAGCCGTCACTCGTACATCAAATTACCAAAGCAAACTCATGTTCAAAAGTTTTGGGGTTTTTTGGGGGTTGGGGAGGCATCTAGAATGGTGCAAGTATAGTGGCTGAATTTCCAATGTTGAAACCAAATCTTTGAAAACAACAAAATCAAAAAAAGAAAACAAAAACATCCCACAACGATATTTTGATGAAACAAATACAAAGTGTTACCAAAAGACGTTGACGAAGTAAGAATGAATTCAAAAATCATCATCATCTTCCTCAGCAATATGCTTGGCAAGCTCTTGCTCCTGTTGTTGCCTCTCTCGCCTCTTCTCAGCACTTTCTTTCTCCTTTTTGTGGGAATTGGGTGGGAACCTTAATGCACGCACTGCCTCATTATGCATGTTAAGGCAGAAGGCTATCCTTGAATTGAATGCAAGCTGGGGCTCATTTGTAGCGTAAACATCACCAGTTTCCTTTGATACCATCCACCCATTTGCATGATCCACAGTGGCATCAATTGCACCATCTCGAATTGCCTTAGCCACAATACTCTCCGCATCAGCAACGGGATTTGCCGTGTCCAACCTCAATTTTTTGGCAACATCTGCCAGTGAGATACGAGAATAAGAAATGCTGATGTTGCGCAGACCAGTCCTTATAACATTATGTCGCAGCCTCACAATTAAATTGTGGGTCCGGTCTGTACTAAATGTATTTGCAAACTTCTCAGCAACAGTCCTGAACAATTCCAAATCCCCAATGCGAACAGCCTGAAAAATTCACAGAAAACTGTAAAGCATAGTCCCTTCTGACCCCATTTTCATCTAATGAAATCCCGATAGCTTAGCTCCACCTGGATATAGACTATTTTACAATTAGCACCAACCAAAAGAATAAAAATAACTAAAATTAAAAAAAAAAAACTAAAAACAAAGGCCTCACACCATGTTAAATTGGTAAGAATCAGAAGGCATAACATAATCTGTGGCTAGACCTGTTCACGGGCCAGGCTTTGGGCCTGACTTCACACTGTTGGGCCCACTCAAATTTTGCCAAAAGCTAGGGCCAAGCCCGGCCATGAACAGGTCTATCTGTGGCCATCTCATATTTTCCTTTCACCTTGAAGTGTTTCTTGAGCCTTGATGATTTTTTTTCAGAATCAAATTAAATATAAAAATACCCAATAATTAAAGATCACCTCCCAGTTCTCTGCAGGTACACATGCCAAGAGGTTTTTTTTTTTTTTTTTCACATGCCAAGAAGTTTAAAACATGAATTTGACACAAGGTACTTGATATTTTACCAATGTTTTAAAAACCGACCCAACGGCCAAACCATTTTTGCATCTGGGTCATGGGTCACCAGTTCAATCATCTGGGCCAAACAGGTTAGACCATGCCACATCAGCATTATAATAAGTGCATAAACACGCATTTTATCAATAAATAATATACAATTATAATCTACATGCAATATATGCATTATTTTATGTTTAACTTAAATTTTTTAATTCAGTTTTTAAAATTTTATTTGTAAAAAATATTAAAATTGCAATTTGATGCCAAAACGGGCTTTTTTCGCAAAAATAGCAGGGCAAGGCAACTACAGCTCCTTGGGATGCATAGATCTCGAAAAGTTACCCAAAATATATAAAAAAAAAGATCACCTCAGTCAGACATCAGAGTGCAAAATTATGGCCTCCAGAAGTTTGCATACATGTTTAATGTACAACCCATGACCCAGTCACCGAGTCAAATAGGTCAGCAGTCCAACTGGCCGGGTCAAATGGTTTTTGACCGAGTGACGGTTTGAATGGTTCAACTGGCCGGGACAACAGCGGGTTGAAAACATCAGGAAAAACTAGTGCAGACGCTGAATGGTTATAACAGAATGCTCTCAGAGTTCAATTAACCAACTCACGTTTGTTAGCTCAAAGTATGGCCTCAAGGCCTTCTTCATGCCTTTCTGCATAAACACAGTTCGCTCAGGAATTTCCCCAAGTAGTAATCGAACAATGACAGCCCACTTGTTGCATTGAACTCGGAAACCACGAGCTGCAACAGGGGCTTTTCTGGCAGCCTGTAGGAGACTCTCCTTTGCATCTGTATATTCCAACTGAATTGTCCTGATCTTTCCCAGGTAGAAGAGATAACGACAAAACTGCAGTGAAAAAGTAAAATGTCAAAATATATGTAAGTCGTGAACAGGATCTTCTGTAGTGCTGTTCTAAAATGACTATTTCAACTAATGATATCCAAAGAAATTGAATCCAATTGAAAGGGGTTGATTCAGAGTTACAGTAATAACATAAGAATCCCTTGGGCTTCAGTCTATTAATCGATACTTAATGGGTATTGCGTATCAAACTCAAAAATAATACCAACAATTATTATCATCCAATATAGTTTCAGCATATAAAACCTCCTGAGTGCAACTCATCAACCTGGGTACTCCCTCCATGCATGTCACAGCATATACCAATAAACATCTATCTAATTAGACCATACTTGCAACATATTCAGCCACGTACTAATGCACAAAACTCAAATCAACAGAAGCCTTAAAACCAACTATTGGGGATTGGTTAAACAAATGTCGTCCCAACATTTGACAACATTCCACACTATCAAGAGCCAAGTCTTCTGTCAAAATTCAGCCTTGCATAAAGTGACACCCAGCAAGCCTGAACCATATGACATCTATGGTACACTGAACCCATATTCCATATATGAGTTAATCATGAAAAGAAAAGGTTCAGAGATGGAAGGTACTCAAGTTGAAATGAATTGAGAATTTGAGATTACCTGCTGATTTGAGTGTGCCTCAAAGCGTGGTGCCTTTGACCTCAGCTTCTCTGCTTGATCATACAAGTTGTAATGCAGGTAGTTGCGAAGTAACAGGTTCAGAAGTGTTTCCTGCGTTGGGCCATGATATTTAGTAAGCAAATGAGAATCTCAGGTAATATAACCAATTGTCTTTTGGAAAGATAAAACCAACCTGACCCAGTTCATCATGGCGCAGTGTGGCTATCCGGTGCAAGGCAAGGAGATTGCTGGAAATAGAAGTTTCCAAGTCAGAAAAAAGAATTAACAAACAGTTAGAAACTCATTCAATATTTCACTTCCTTTTTTACAGACTCTTATTAATGCAGGTGCTCACCCTCGAATTTCAGCAAGATCACCTGTAAGTTCATAACTGAAGGAGTAATAAAAGTACAGTCTGGATGCGAGAACATCAACAGTTCTTCTATTCAAGTTCTTCAGGCGAGCAATGCTTGCAGAAGAACAAATTTTTGCCTGAAGGACAAGCCAAGAAATGGATTAAGCCGGGAAGCAAGAATATTTAATCTATCAAGGTAGATACAGAGAACACATAAGCTGAATATGATAGCTGTTTTACTGGCTGTGAGACCAACCATAAATGCAAAAAAGAGTAGAGATTGAGTGATTGTGGGCCATATACACTTTAAGGGTAGCGTGGCGTGGGATGTAATGATTGGTCCCACAGCCTGTAAAACAGCTATCAAATTTAGCTAATCCTTTCTCGATGCAGAGATATATATAAAGAATAAAATAAAATATACAATACATAAAACAAAGAAAGGAAAAGAAAGGTGTGGTGGATGTAGAAGTCAATAATATGCATAATATATCTCACCTCATTATATCTCTTTTGATCAATCAGAAATATTAACACAAGCAGGTAACAATAAATCTCAATCTCTGGTAAGGAGTGCTTGACAGGAGCTTGAGTTGCAGAAGTGGCAGTATCAACTTCCATGTCATGTTCATCTTCCTGCAACCAAAAATAACTTTAGACCAAGAAATGAACTCCATATTTTTTGAGAACAAATGCTAGAACAAAGGTGAGAGTTGCAATAGGTGCTTATTAGAGAAGAATCAAAAGAAGTACTGATGGGCTTCATATTGAGGGGCTGGCTTGTGGTTGCTGGGTATGTCCCCCAAAGTTAAAAGGTGAGAGCAGTGTTCAGAGAACTGGACTGGGCATAGAACCGCAAAAAAGGGAGAGGCTCAAGCCTCTTAACTCACAATTTCTTTAAAATACGTGTGATAAAGTAAAATATACAATTAAGAGTCACTAATTAACACAAATAAAGAAATGGATTAATGGTATTTGAGCAATACATATAAACAAGAGGTCATGGGTTCAAGTCTTGCCATAAGCATTTTGAAATTTCGATTATTTAATGACCCAAGCGGTTTTATGAAACCAGGACCGGTTCACCAGTTCTCTGGTTAAACAGGCCAGTCATCCAGTTTTGACCAGTTTTTCATGAATTCCGGGTTTTGGGGTATGACCAAATCAGCCAGGGACACTGGCCATGGTTCAACTAGGTGTTTTTCTTTGTCACACTGCAACATAATAAGTTTATGCCTTTTTCTTTTCTATACCATCAGGAAAAGTACAAAAATGTGGGGCAGAACCCTGAGAAACTACAAAAAAAAAAGACTACGTAATGAGTGACTGCATAACAAATACAAGCAGAAGGCTCCCCACAAAAATAAAATCAAGGGTTAGCACATGTTAGGAACTTTAAATCAGTGTTCTTAAGCCATCGTTGACCTAGCCGGTTGAACCGTTCAACTGTCACCCAGAGGTCAAGACAGTTTGGTTTTATCCCAAACCCATAAATAGTAAAAAACTGTTGACTTGGTCAAGATCTGTCCGACCCGAACATTAACTTGTTGAACCGTTTGAACCATTCTCCAGTTCATGATTCAAACCATAATAATATAATATTTAATCTTTTTTGAATATTAAATCATTTATTTTAAGTAAAAACATAATAATACAAAACCTAAAATGGTTATGTGAAAGGGTGAGAAGAGATTGGAAAGGAAAATGAAAAGTCAAGCTTGCATTTAGACAGCGATACCAGAATCCAATTTTGATCTTACAACCAGTGGCTCCTCTTCTTCCATTATCAGCTGTCATTCTCACTTCCTCCATTGTATCGTAAGGGATGTCCATAGTGTGAACAGATTATTATAGTTAGAAATTAGAAATGTGGGGAGGGGGGGCTAAAAGTGGGGATTTATGTGGAGGTTTTGTAGGTTAGTTGAAATGAAGAGAAGGGAGGATTGAGGAGATGTTCATATGTGAAGGAAATTGAGGTGACTATTGTGAAAGAGACACAGGTAGAGAGAGAGAGAGATCTAATGGTGGGGAGAAAAGAAAAAAAGAAGACAATGGTAAAGTTCCTTCTCTCTCTAAGATTCTATATTGACATGAGAGTGGAGGTACCCTAAAATTCTAGTCTAACTTCCAGATTGGTTTTTAAAACATGGCTTAAAAGGGCATACATAAATTATAAGTTTATCTTTGCTACCTATGAATATCTTATAGTAAAAAGATTTTTTTATGAATAACAGAACATTTTCAATAATATAAAGATATTGAAGTACAAGGAAGCAGCAACCCTAGAGGTTGAGACTTGAGATGGCATAACCCCGAACTTTTCTAATCATATAAACAGTACATCAAGTAGAAATCCCATTCCCCCAGAACAGATTCTCTCTTTCAACCCCTCGTCTTGCTAACCCATATTCCAAACATTGGCAGAACTGTACACCTACCAAAAAGCAACAATTCAGCCTCTATTTAAGTTGGAATCCAAAGTAGAGAGAAAAGAAAATGATAAATAGAAGTGTCCCTCAATAATCCATGGAGCACTGCTAGTTGCAAAAGTGGTGTCTAGGTATAGGGGGTATTCAGGAAAGGAATGGAGAGTTCTATTGGGGAAGTGGTTATGGAGACTATCAAAGGAAGAAGACAAACTTTAGGCTAAGGTGATTGTAAGTATTCATGGGCAAATGGTTGATGGTTGGGATGTTGGAGTCTTGGCTAGGGCTACATGAGCTTCTCCTTGGAAATCTACTCATGCTGTTCTTCCTTCCTTTTTGGCTTATATCAGGTATGATCTTTGTTCTGCTAACTAGGTGAAATTTTGGGAGCATAAGTGGGTGGGGGATGTATGCTTGAAAAAGCAATTTCCCTCTTTGTATTCCCTTTCTTCTTTTAAAGATGAGCCGGTGTCCACTTTTTTGGTTCCTTCAAACTAAGGTTCTGGTTTTGATTGGGACTTGGGTTTTAGAAGGGGTTTCAGGGATTTTGAAGTCCGTTCTATCTCAGCTCTAATTCAGACCTTGGGTGGGGTGGTTTTAGATCCAAGGTGAGAGGATGACAAGATTTGGACTCTGACTTCTACTGGTGTGTTTTCTTGTACCTCTTTTTTCAAAGCCTTAGTGCGGCCTTTTGATAGCCTAAGGAATAATTTTCCAGTCCTTGAAGTTCGAGGCAAACTGAGGTAGAGACAAAGTTAGGCTAGCTGATGGTTTTCACACCACCATTGCTAGCCAAGTGAAAGGGATGGTAGAATCCATCGTATGGACGCCAAAACAGTTGCGGAATGGGTGGGCGAATTTCAAAAATTTTCTGCCTACCTTTCAACTGGGAATCACATTCCCTAATTTTAGAATCAAGATTCAAGGATCCTACTTGAACCAGAACCGAACCAGATCTGAACCAAAAGAGAAGGGAGTAATTATACCTGATCCAGAGAAATAATATCTCCCAAAGTTGGTGTTCACGCCCAAAGAAGGCACCAAGATCTGCTCCTGCTGAAGATGACACAGCAACTGTGGAACAGAACCAACAGAGTGCGTCTTACACACTGAACCCTTCACAAGAATCCTTTGGATGACAATGAGCACCAAACAGAATCAGCCTTTCAACAAAGACTGATATCAAGAACTTTTCTTGATCTTTTTCTCTGATAGAGAAAACAGACTGCAATAGATAGTGGCGGCTGCAACAGAAGGGAGCTAGAAAAGAAGATGGCGAACTGCTATTCCTTCTCTAGGGTTTCTGAGATCCTATCTCACAAAACTGTTGGGTGTGTTCTGTGTAAAATCCCCTAGGGTTCGAATTCTTGTAATTCGAAAATAATAGGGTTTCCTCCAGTTGCTTAATGATTAAGAAAAGATCTCCTGATCATATCAGAAGTTGCCCTTATCCAAATTTGTAATTGGATTAGGACTCTTCTTAATCCTATCTGCAGATTAGATAGACTTTTGGGCTCATCCTAATCTCAGATCCGCCCCTTGTTAATGGCTGATCAAATCAGCCCAGTTCAAAATGGGCTTTAGGCCCAACAAGAATCATTTGCTCAAAAGTCTTCCAAACTGCTACCCAGTTGGGCTTCTTTGTATGGCGTGGGACCCAATCATTGATCTACACACCAACCACATGGGTTCGGCCCAGCCTCTGTTACAAGGCCTGGCCAAATTCACTAGAGGGCCCAGTGAACCCCCTGAGCCCATCATATGGACCCTATGGGCCCAACACTTACACTAA